GACTATCTCTGTTCCCTCAACATGATCAGAAAATAAATCTTTAGATACTTCAAACAAACAGAGCCGTTTGAGATCATGTGAGGGATAAAAGAGATATTTGAGGGATTCACTTATCTGCCTAGCACTGGCAGAAGCGGAATGTTCAGATGTCCCAAGACATCCAGAGAACTGGGGCAGAAGCTTACATCGCACCTTCTGAATCAAAGGCAACGCATAAGCTGCTCTGGAGCCAGACATAGAGCAGCTTCCAGCAAGGTTGCCCAGCTGACCCGGTCCCACTCCGTTCAGATAAGAGCTAAGTGTCTGGTCAGAATGCAGTCCGAGGAAGGTCAGTAGGGTCGGGGTCTGTTCTTCAGCATCAGCACTTTACAAACTTGAGATCTGGTTGCAGTGAAAGGGGTGTGAGAACCTAAATGTCTCTTTTTGGTCTTCCGAGTGCCGAGTGTGTTAGTCAGCTTCTGTCACCATGACAAAGTACCAGGGGAAACATAGAAGGGTGAGTATTTAATCTGGCTCTGTTTCAGAGGTTTCAGGCAATGGAAATGATGCTTGGCCATGCCGACTTAAAGCCTGTGACAAGGCCAGCCATCATGGTGGAAGCACATGGCAGAGGGAACTGCTTGTCTCGTGGTGGCTAAGAAGCCAAGACAGAGAGGAAAGGGCCAGAATCTCAACATCCCCTTGGATATGAGGTGTCTAATGACCTAACTTCCTCCCACTATGCCCACCTCCTGAAAGCTCCAGCATCTCCCAATGGTGCTGCTAGATGCCTGCTAAACCTTCAGCATATGGGGGACATTTAAGGGAAGCCATACACCAAATCATGAGAAGGATGGAGTAAAAATTAAAGTGGAAGATACTATAGTGGATTTGAGAAAAAAAAAAAAAAAAAAACAAAAAAAAAAACTATGGGCTCCAAAGGACTACTTGCAAATGAAGGCTGGTGAATCCCCATTTGGAAAGGATTCCTGCCTCTACACCTCTGTTCTTGGATTCTAGGCGGCCTTTCGAGTTCCTCCAGCCAAGAGAACATGGTGGACGTGACACCATCCAAATTGTAAAGCTGGGCCTCAAAAGTCTTTGGCTTTTCCACCCTTTCTCTCGGAAGACTGAGTTGCCAGTGGAACAAGCCAGGGCTAGTCTGTTGGACAATGAGATGTTCAAGGTCCAACCTCCCACCCTCCCTTCCTTCATCACCAAGGTTCATCTCAGCCACCCTCTAGGAGCAGAGCTGCCTGTAGACCAGAAACACATCACATACTCAAGCCTGAGCCCAGGTGAGGTCAGTAGAGCCACCCTCGGAGCCCCAGCCAAATTGCTGGTGCACAGAATTGTGGGTGATGTCAACTGTTGTTATTTTAAGCCTCTAAGTTGTAGAATGATTAGTTATGCAGCAAAAAAATTCATACACCTTCCTCAAAATCTTCTCAGCACAGAAGAGATATGCTGGAAAGGCATTCAATTCCTTGAAGACTGGGAACCAAACCAGTGATTTCTCAGATGTCTCATGAATTTGGGTGAAGGAAATCAGGATAACCATCGAAGTCACACAGACCAAATGGAATTATCCTAGGCAGACTGCCTCCTTTACCTCCCAGTAAGGAGAGAAGGTGCCGTTCTTAGAAATTTTAAAGTCATTTTACTGCTGGTTTAACAATACAGCAGAAAAAAGAATGATAAAATGTCTCAATAATTTTCAATTTCATTCTCTTCCTTCTGCTTCTCAAAGATCTAGTCTTCCATGTCACCGTTCCCTGGTTCTTGTAGTTTCCATTACCTCATCTTCCCGTCGTAATCCTCTCAGAAAAATGGAAAGAACAGTGACTTCCACTGCCGGGGAGTTTTACTAGGTGCTCTTAACATCTAGTAAAAAATATGGTTCAAATTATATTGTAAATTCTCACCACCACCCCATCAGATAAAGATGATTAGACCCATTTTATACAGCAGTAAACCAAGGGCTCAGAGAGGCAAAGACATATGCCGAGGTCATATGATTTGATATGTGCTGGAGCTAGAATTTTAAATCACCATCTGTCTGGTTAGAGAGTTAATGAATTTTCCATTATATAACATTGCCTCTAAGGCATAACAAGAGCTGAGCTTGTAACAGACATTTTATGGGAATGCAAGCTTAAGGACGGTGACCATAAACACAAAAATAAACACACACACACACACACACACACACAGAGAGAGAAAATTTAAAAAGAGAAAAGGAAGAAACTGTGCAAGTGGCAATTCTGACCAAAGAAAGTATTGGAATTTTATGATTTTGGTCAAATACTTTCCCAGACATGACAGCAAGAACCAGTAATACATACAACAGTTAGATCAGTGATATATTAGCCTGGAAGAATCTAATAAAAGACATCATTGGGTCACCTTCCTCTGGACTTGAAGGTCACATGTGTGAAGGCATTGAGAATAACCTGGATTTCAACCAACTGTGTATATTTGTGAACAGTTTCATCCTAATACAACCACCGCTCAAGTAAAGTGTGACTTTTGACTTAAATTAGTAACCACAATCTTTATAAATATGAATTATTTTGAATTTAAAAGTGAAATACTAAACCTGGCATGGTGATGTATGCTTCCAATTCTAGTGCTGGGGAGGCTGAGGTAGGAGAATCACTGTGAGTTCGAGACCAGCCTGGGCTATATACTGAGTTCAAGGCCAGCCTGAACTGCATAGCGAGACAATGTTATAGTTTGTGTCTGGATGTCCCCCCAAAGCCTCATGCAGTCATGGGGCGGCTTCTAGAGTTTCTGACTGACTCCTGGTCCAATACTGGGATTATGGGTGTGAGTGCTATGCCCACCCTGCAGTGGACAACCTGCATACAATATAAGGGAGAGAAAGAGGCTTGCTCCTGTGCTCCTCCTTTTTTGCTCTTGCTGCTTTTGCTGTCTTCAGCTGCCATGAACTATTGCCCTCTGCCATGTGCCACTCTGCCGTGGGGCCAGCCAAGTATGGGCTGAAACCTCTGCAAACTGTGAGCTAAACCTTCCCTTCTTTAATTTTGGGCATCAGGTATTTTGTCCCCTAGCAAGGAGAAATGTAACCAAGACAGAAACTATCTGGAAAAAAAAAGATTCCTTCTTTTAGTAAAAAAGAGAAGTAGATCTAGAAGGTAAAACTATTGCTGTAGCAGGAAACTTAAATTGCTAATCAAATGTTTTATTCTGCATTAAATTCACTTCCTCCAAATTATAAAACGGAACTGAGAAATTTTTAAATTTTTCATTTGTCCCCAATTTTCTCCATTTAAATTAATTAGTCTGGTGTCCTTGCAGTCAGGCCAGCATATAATTATGTAGCGGCTCAGGGGAAAGTGCGTAAGTCCTTCAAATTTAAACCCTGGGGAAAAGGAGCCCCCGCTGCAGCTGTGACACAGGCTGAGTCACAGGCTCCACGTGGCCAGCCCCCCTCAGCCTGGCCCTCCCTGGGGAGCTCTTTCAGTTCACCTTGGTCAGAAGAGGACACACCCAGCACAGCCCCTTAAGTCCAGCTTCTGGGCTCAGCTCCCGCTGCCACTTTCCTAGTATCCGTAGCCTCCCCACCCCAGAGCACCACCTCTGTTTCTCCACCTAACAGTTCCCTTCTTTCCCCTCAAGAGCCTATGGGGCCTGAACAACTGAAACTCTTTCATTTCTTTTTGAAGACAGGGTCTTGCTACATTGCCCAGATTGGTCCCAGAGCTCCTGATATCAAACAGTCCTCCTGCCTCAGCTTTCCCGGTAGCTAGGACTATAGGCACAAGGCATTACAGCCTGCTTTTGAGGCTGTGGGGAGGATTTGGGGGTTTTTGTGGGGCGCAAGGACTGAATCCAGGGACTGGCACGTGCTAAGCAAGCGTGCCACCACTGAGCGATACCCCCAGCCCCTGGAAGCTTTCCCTTCTCTGTCCCAGGGCCCACATAAGGCTCAGCACCAACGCCTGGGCCTCCTGTACCTACACTTTGTCCCTGGACACCTCAAGCGCACCCTGTCTCTTCCTGAGCGGCCCTCGACACCCCAGAAGCTGGGCAGGTCGCTCTCACCTGCTCTGTGCACCATACCCTGCTCTGGTGCCTATAGCTCGGCATCTTCGCGGCAGACCCGTCACTTTTCTGAATCACAGGGTCCTTGCCTGGGAACTACACCGATCCCAGGGAACCATGAGCACTGAACCTCTCAACTCCAGCCCTTCATCCCGACTTCCTCTTCTTCAGCTCTCCCATCTGCCATCCCACCCAAGCCAGGCCTCGATCGGGGGAGCCGGTGACTGACTGCTCACACTGAAAGGGCGCCGGAAGGTTTCCCGCTTCAAGAACAGAAAAGTAAACCCATTTAGTCACTTAGACCGTGTCGAGCAATTTTAAGTATAAAGCAGTCACCCCAGGACCTCAAAGCCGGCTCTTAACTTTCACTGGGTCATCCTCCACAAGACTTGTTCCTCTGTGTATGTGAAGACCGTCCTAAAGAAAGACTGGTGGGATTCCTTCTCAGATCTCCTCTTCTGCACAAAATCTTGACTTTCACCAGGACAGCTGATTCAAGCCCTCACACCTCTGCCCTTTCGTCTTGGTCTCCTGTGAGCATGGATTGCCGCTGCTCGCCCCCCTCAGGGGAAACCTGGCCTCCTCAAAGCTCCTGGTGCCCTTGTGCCTGACCTTGGCAATGGCTTTTCCCAGCCAGCCACCTGCACTGCACTTCTGCCACCTTGAATGTTAGAGAGGCCTTTCTGCCCCTTCTACCTACCCAGCAACCCCCACCACCCCCGTCCTGTCTGAATCTTCTCTGGAATACCAGCCTCTCCCTGAGAAAGCATGCACTTTTGTGTTTGCTTCCTGTCTCCCTCCCTACATACCATTTCTGTGGGATAGAAGACCTTTATTTGACTGACTGCTGTAACAGATTATGGTATCTGGCACAAAGTATGTATTCAAGGTAGGCTTCCCCCCCGCCCCCCACCTCCCTGCCATATCACACCCTTCCCCCAGTAGTGACTTACACATTGCTTTCTCTCACACTGGCCAGCATAGCCTGGTTTCCTAACTAGCAACGTGATTTTGAATATGGATTCTGAACCAGTTGCCATGGCAGCATGCCTGTAATCCCAGTTACTTGGGAGGCTGAAACAGAAGGATCAAAAGTTCAGGGCCAGCTGAATTCTTGGGGAATTTAGAGTCAACCTATCTAAAAAAAAAAAAAAAAATTAATGGCTAGAGATGTCCCTCAGCACTCCCTGGATTCAACCCCCAGCTCTATCAAAAAACAAAAAACAACCAAGAGAATACAGACTGACATCTGACACCCAGGCAGTGTCTCTCAGCTTCCCGTCTCCTGGGACTTCATAACGCTATCTCCGGCCTTCCTTACCTCACCTACACCAGCCTCTACCTCACTTCCCTTCCAGATCCTGAACCTACCACCCCACGAACACCTGCATGGTCTCTGTCACCCTCCAATCTGCTAGAAAGAAAGAAAAACCCCTTCTGAAGACCCCTTTCCCGAGGCTCTAGGCTGAAGTCTACTTTCTCTCGACAATCTCCAGGCTACTTTGTTGCTATCCACAAAGGACCCGTATAATAATCTGCCCCACATGGGCCGGAGATATAGCTCAGCGACACAAGTGCCTGCCTGGCAAGCACAAGGTCCTGAGTTGGATTCCCCATCCAAAATTAAAAAAAGAAAAAGAAAATAATCAGCTCCACAGTTGTCCGGGTATTAACGTCAAACTTCTCACTCTTCACAAAGCAGGGCTGTACTCACTTCCGGTTCTGAGGCACTTCCGGTTCTGAGGCACCTCCCAGTTGACTTTCGTACCCCCTCACCCTGGGCTCTCATAATCCACGCTGCTTTTACACTGAGTCTAAGATAAATATCAAACCGTCTGTCTTCCAGACACATTACTTCCATTTCCAAGCTTTTCAGAAATCTCTTCCATTAATCTCTGGTGTCATTACCACCCCCATCCCCACCATCTTTGTCTCATTGTTCATTCTTATTGTTTTATACACTGAATAATCATATGAGAGTCTCCATCATGAGGACCTGGCCCTCTTGGAATTCTCCTCCTTAAATGGTTGACACAGGAGCCGTCATACCCAAGAACACTTGGTTTGCTTTTATGAAGAAAACAGGAACGGAGATTACGCTCTGTTTTGGCCTCTGTTCTTCGTAAACTTTATTCTGCTCCGTGGTTAGGACAGTATTTGATATAGCCATTGAACAAATAATAAGAACATCAAAGCAGGGATGACAATTTGTTTTCAGCAGAAATCAATTGCTAGAAGCTCAGAATAGTCCATCTGATCCCTTCAAAGTCACCATGCTAAAGAGACGATCACTGATCCACCAGCAGGGCTGGGCCCCCACCACTGTCACCTCTCAGACAGTCACGTTTTGAAGGGAGCAGGTTTCCTGCCTGCTTCTTCCAGCACCTGGCAGACTCTGAAGCACCTGAGGCTACTGGCACATAGAATGCAAGAACTGTAAGCCACTCAGACAGGGAGGGAGCCAGGGGAACAGGTATGGAATGCAGGGGAGGCAGACGCTGAATTACGTGGACACACTGCTTCCAAATTCTTCACATTCTCTCCTATCATCTTGTTATGAAATTTTGTTTTACCTTTTTTCCATAAAATAAAAAAAAAAATCTGCACATTCTATGCTTCATTTCACAATGCAGAGTCCATCACAAGCCAGCAAGGACTGCAAGCTAGTTCTGCTGTGGAGATCACCTAGTAGGGAAATGAGCCTGACAGGAAAGGGCCCGCACCGAGGCATATGAACACAACTACCTCCAAATCAGGGGTAGTGACGGTGCACAGGGGCTAACTCTAGTGGCCACTCCTTCCTCAGGTCACTGAAAACCTTTGGTGCACAGAAATTCAGTCTGTCCTCCCTCTGTCTTTCCAACATACAGCATGTATACACCTGCATGCAAATCTCTCTGCACTCACTGTAGCGGGGAACCAAAAAGACAGAAATATCTTTGCTAATTTAGGCATTCAACACCCTCCCCCAGTAATTAAATCAATAGCAAAAGCCCCTTGATTTTGAGGCTTTGGAACCTACATCTGAAATATTAGCATATCAGTAATGTTCAGTGGCACCTCAGTTCATGTATTAATTCGTTCCAGGATTCAGGAAAAGATGGCCATGGTGGTATTCACCCCCTGAGGCAGAGTTGGCAAACAAAAACAAATTTTCCCAAACACTTCTCTTTGTGAAGCAATTGTTAAAAAACAAAACCATTCCTAAGGAAGGCATCACTGAATTAAAATGATAAGCGAGCTCTCGGTGACCAGGTCAAAGCTTTTGGTTCCTCTGGAGTATTTCGCACACCACTTTACATGAACGTGGTCTCAGAAAGCTGGAGCAGGGCCTCCAAGAGAAGCAGTCAGGCCTATGTGCCTGAACCTGCAGCTAGAACAGGCTTCCGCCCTGGGTTCCCAGCTCAACACCGACAAAGCGCTGGCCCAAGTCACAAGAGCTGCTCTATGAGAGGGGCTGACCAGGATGCTTTACACTTAAAATCTCACTCCATCTAAGAAGAAGCAAGTAAAATGCTGCTTCCTATGCCAACGTAGGCACTAGGGAGATGAATCCACAGGACTTGAACCTCTAATCTGGTGTAGGTATTCTGAAATTTTGAGCTGTATCAAAACCACTTGGAGAGTTTATTAAAACACAGATACTATATCCTCCACACACACACACCCAGAGTTCCCAATTCAGTAGGGCTGTAATGGGCCCAGAAATCTGTTTCTCTCACAGTTCTTATATCCTACTGGTGGCCCATGAAGCAGATGTGTGGATCTACTGGTCTCCAAGGAAGGAACCTGAGTTCACTCTGGGACTGGGGACGCAGGAGAACAAGAGCCAGCAGGGGGACTAAGATAGAGGCGCCAAAGAAGATACAGACCAGAGAAAGGAGGTGCCAATGTAAACAGCTGTGAAGTTCTCCCAGAACATGAGAAAATAAAGGCTGGTTGCATCTCCTTAAATTATACTTTAATGCATATTCCTACATAATTCATAGTATAGACCATATATTATTTTGATTATACGCCTTGCGTAAGTATCTTAAAGACTATGTTCTAATACATAAGCTTGGATGGTAATGTGCTGCTCTTTCAGAAAACAGGTAAAAACAAAAGTAAACTTGGTTCACAGAGGAAAAGAGAACTGCACTGGCACTAGCGCTCAGAAGGAGAGGCTCCATCCCTGGCATGGAACCCGGGTTATAAAGAAGCACGTGTCAACTCTGGGCAAGGCTCGGAGAGAAGGGGGAAAAGTCACGGCAACTCAGGCTTTTAGAGAGAAGGGGAGAATGCCCCACTTTGGGCTACGGAAGTGCAATTTGGAGATTTTACAGAGAACACACACTAACACATTCCACCTCCGTTTTATGCCGAATTGATAAAAATAAGGAGATTATAAAAAGAAAAATTGGAGTAAGGAAGGGTCTATGTAATGCAGAAGTTATAAGATGTCCGCTGTATCTGCCTCCATGGAGCACACATGAGTAGCACATGGCTTGAGGGAGCATCTGCATTTCACATGAATTCTCATGTGTGTGGGAACAGGGCACGCCCGGCAGGGTATGGACTGAATGTCTGTGCCTCCCTAAAAGTCCTGTTGAAGCCCTAAGCACAGTGATGGGACCTGGCTGTGGAGCTTTGACAGATTACTAGGTTTAGATGAGGTTAGGAGTGCTGCGTCCTCAGTAGGAGAGACCAAGAGAGCATGAGCCCCTACACAGCCCACTCCGTCACCGCCACGTGAGGACACAGCAAGAAGGCAGCCATCTGCAAGGCAGAAGCGGCCCTCACCAAAACCTAACTATGCTGGCGTCTTGACTTTGGGCCTTTAGCCTCCAGAGCTGTTGCTTCTGCCACCCAGTCCGCGGCTTCGCTATGACAGCAGCCTGAGACGGAGGGGCTGGGACCCACTGGACAGTGTGGCTCTGACTTCTTTATCACGGCATCATCATCTACCCAGTGACAACTGTCCTAACTCCAGCGTGCAATCAAGGTCATCCCAACACTAGGAGATCTAAAAAGGGAGTAGACGCCAGGCTTAGTCTCAGCTCCAGCTATTCAGTGGAGCCTGGTGGGATGGACAGTTGGTTCTGACCCGTGGGTTCTCCTTCTGATGCCAAGCGCCCTGCCTTCCAACAGACGCTTTGCTTCAGTCTCTGCTTCTGATCACTGGAACCTGCCTCACGCGTTTCCCTCCTGATAGCAGGAAGCTGCCCTGCCCTGCATCTTAAAGGTTGGCCTCACGTTGGCCACCTGCTTGTGCTTCCCCCAGCATCTGCCTCGGGCTCCCCCTGCCCATCCACTAGTGCTTACTGAGCACCACTGTAAGCTCCTAGGACCTCTGCCTTAACATGCACTATTCCTAACCCCCAGCACAGTGCCACAGGTCGCGATTACTCTTTCCCTTCGTGGGGAAGAACACAAGATTCAGGAGTTAAGTAACTTTCCCATGATCACACAACACAGCTCTCAGTAAGAACTTTCTATTTTAACCTGCTTGTCCAGCTTGAAAGTCTACACACTTTTCCACACAATACAGGGTCATTTATTTCTGCCCCATCTCCGTGCTACCCATCCTTCCTGTTCTCCACTGCTGAATTCTCCTTAGACTGGAGCTGGGTGCTCTTATGTTCCCTCAGCCTTTACAACACGTAAGACAGCATAAATCACAGCCAAGACCACAGATGCTAGCTGGGTGTGGTGGTGCACCTCTACAGTCCAAGAACTCTGGGAGACTGAGACAGGAGGACTACAAACTGCATCTCAAGCCGGGCAACTTAGTGAGACCCTGTGTCAAAATAAAAAATTTAAGATCGGCTGTGGATGCAACTCAGTGCTAAAGCCCTGGGTTCAATCACTAGTAACACACACACACACACACACACACACACACACACACACACAGGTCTATGTGTGCTATGGAGGGGATTAAAAAAAATGAAAGGGAAAGTGGAGAGCTATAAAAAAGAAAACAAAGGTCAAGAAGAATTAGAAGAGAATAGACAGCAGGGAAAAGATGCAGTGGTCAGTGAAGCAACAGGTGTCAAGTCAGGACACTGGGCTG